GAGCTGTTATCTTACCTTTCTGAGAGCTGTTATCTTGCCTTGGTTGAAAGCTGTATCTTACCTTGGCTGAGAGCTGTTATCTTACCTTTCTGGAAGCTGTTATCTTACCTTTCTGAGAATTGTTATCTTGCTTTGGCTGAGAGCTGTTATATTGCCTTGGCTGAGAGCTGTTATCTTGCCTTGGTTGAAAGCTGTATCTTACCTTGGCTGAGAGCTGTTATCTTGCCTTGGCTGAGAGCTGTTATCTTGCCTTGGCTGAGAGCTGTTATATTGCCTTGGCTGAGAGCTGTTATATTGCCTTGGCTGAGAGCTGTTATCTAGCCTTGGCTGAGAGCTGTTATCTTACCTTTCTGAGAGCTGTTATCTTACCTTCCTGAGAGCTGTTATCTTACCTTTCTGAGAGCTGTCCTCTTACCTTGGCTTGAAGCTGTATTTTATCTTGACTACGACCTGTCATCTTACCTTGGCTGAGAGCTGTTATCCTACCTTGGCTGAGAACTGTTATCTTACCTTGGCTGAGAGCTGTTATCTTACCCTGGCTGAGAGCTGTCATCTTACCTTGGCTGAGAACTGTCATCTTACCTTGGCTGAGAGCTGTTATCTTACCCTGGCTGAGAGCTGTCATCTTACCCTGGCTGAGAACTGTCATCTTACTCTGGCTGAGAGCTGTCATCTTACCCTGACTGAGAGCTGTCATCTTAGCGTGGAGCTGTTATCTTACCTTGGCCGAGAGCTGTCATCTTATCTTTCTGAGAGCTGTTATCTTGCCTTGGCTGAGAGCTGTTATCTTGCCTTGGCTGAGAGCTTTTATCTTACCTTTCTGAGAGCTGTTATCTTACCTTTCTGAGAGCTGTTATCTTGCCTTCGTTGAGAGCTGTTATATTGCCTTGGCTGAGAGCTATTATCTTGCCTTGGTTGAAAGCTATATCTTACCTTGGCTGAGAGCTGTTATCTTACCTTTCTGAGAGCTGTTATCTTGCCTTGGTTGAAAGCTGTATCTTACCTTGGCTGAGAGCTGTTATCTTACCTTTCTGGAAGCTGTTATCTTACCTTTCTGAGAATTGTTATCTTGCTTTGGCTGAGAGCTGTTATATTGCCTTGGCTGAGAGCTGTTATCTGCCTTGGTTGAAAGCTGTATCTTACCTTGGCTGAGAGCTGTTATCTTGCCTTGGCTGAGAGCTGTTATCTTGCCTTGGCTGAGAGCTGTTATATTGCCTTGGCTGAGAGCTGTTATATTGCCTTGGCTGAGAGCTGTTATCTAGCCTTGGCTGAGAGCTGTTATCTTACCTTTCTGAGAGCTGTTATCTTACCTTCCTGAGAGCTGTTATCTTACCTTTCTGAGAGCTGTCCTCTTACCTTGGCTTGAAGCTGTTATTTTATCTTGACTACGACCTGTCATCTTACCTTGGCTGAGAGCTGTTATCTTACCATGGCTTTGTATTTTACCTTTGCTAGCTGTTGCCTTAGCTAGGCTTAGTGCCGTTATCTTACCTTGGCTTAGATTTGTTGTATTATTTAGAGTTACAGGCGTTATCTTTTCTTTGCTTACAGCCGTTATCTTTCCTTGACTTAGAACCATTATCCTACCTTGGCTTAGATCTGTTATATTCCTTGGCTTAGATCTATCATGTTACCTTGGATCAGAGCTGTTATCTTGGTTTAAGAGCCGTTATCTTACCTTATCATCATTCAGGATATTGTCTTATTAATTATTTTCTTATGAATTTGTTTTTGCAATTCCTCCTTATAATTTAATGTCAAATTCCGTAAATAAATGATTCCGGTTGAATGATTTGTTAAGTGTGTTTACCGTAGAGTTAGAGACAGCACCGCTGTGTCCCTCAGGCTTGTACCCTGGCTCATGGGGCACGTGTCACGTGAACCAAGGTGCCACAATGATGGTCCAAGACCACTGTTCCTTTGCCCGCTCACTTCCGTGGAACGTGCAAAATGGCAACGCCGCATTTGTTGTTGTTGTAGTAAAGGGTTACATTATGAATGAATAGACGCTTTGTAACGACGACTCTCATTGGTCAAAACTCCACACACCGGTTGATATAATTTACACCGCTATCGAAAGGAAAATAAAATTGCTCGGTGAATAAAGATTATTATATGTACATTACTGAACAAAAGAGATGGCTCTACTTTTGTGCTTCAGAGTTTGTTGATCTCTTATGTAAATGATATAACGTATGACACTTTGACGTACTGGCATTTGGCTGTTGAGGCAGAAGAGACGTCCTGTGTCTAGTTAGTTAGTTTAGTTCATTTATTATGCACCCCATACCCATCTTGTGGGCTCACAAACCTTTTATTCATTTTGAAATTGGTTTGCAAAAAGTTATATTGACAAATATAGTTGACATACTACGTAAACCGAATAATATCTAGACGTAATTACATCCCAATATTCTATACATAGAGCTGACCAAATAATTACAAGAGAGAGAGAGAGAGAGAGAGAGAGAGAGAGAGAGAGAGAGAGAGAGAGAGAGAGAGAGAGAGAGAGAGAGAGAGAGAGAGAGAGAGAGAGAGAGAGACTACGAATATGGCAAATGTTCGATAATATTACACGTGTAATTCGTTGCTATTTGAAGAGTATTGTATACTCAACATGCACCACCATATGATAAATGTTAAACGAAAAAGTTATTTACTTTGTAAAACGTTTACAACTCTAATGGGAAAAGAATTAATACATATATTCCGTCATCGGTTTTTTCCACCAACAACGTAGAAGAAAATGCTTCGGCATTTGGCCCCCGTCTCTTTCCTGCCTCTGGTGCCGTGGTGAGGGAGTTTGGTGGCACAACACCACACACACACACACACACACACACACACACACACCATCCGTCTACCCCCTTTCTCTCACTCTCACTCTCTATCTCTTTCCCTCTCTTTCTCTCTCCCTCCCTCTCTTTCTCTCTCTCTCTTTCCCTCTCCCTCTCTTTCCCTCTCCCTCTCTTTCCCTCTCCTCTCTTTCCCTCTCCTCTCTCTCTCTCTCTCTCTCTCTCTCTCTCTCTCTCTCTCTCTCTCTCTCTCTCTCTCTCTCTCTCTCTCTCTCTCTCTCTCTCTCTCTCCCCCTCCTCTCTCTCCCCTCCTCTCTCTCCCTCTTCTCTCTCTCTCTCTTCTCACTCCCCCTCTCATTCACATAATTATTTGGTCACCTATACAATCTATTACATAATGTATTTTATTACCTAATTAATGAACTTAATAATCTCAGGCATCAAATACACACGTCACAGTCCCTATTCATCTCACTTTGTATTCTAGCTGTCAATAATACTAAGTGGTAATGAGTTGCAATACTTGTGGACTCTCCTATTTCTGATATTGATGTGTAATTAGTTCTTGATACCATTATTCGTAGAAAGTATATCAACTATATTCGCAAATGTAAATGTTTGCTAACCACTTTTAACTTAAAAAAACGTTTTATGTTGTTGTTGAGATGCGTAGAAGATCGAGGGGAGCATTTTGTGAGTGACGTCACGTCGTCTGCCCCAACACCCAATACGTTTATTTATTTATTTATTTATTTAATTATTTATTTATATATATATACAAGAAGGTACATTGGGATTGTGAGGATATATAGCATAGTAATTACAATCTTGTAAAGCCACTAGTACGCGCAGCGTTTCGGGCAGGTCCTTAATCTTAGAAAATTTTAAGTAGGTAAATACTTGCAAAATTTATGAATATGATAACAGTTACATAACAAGAAAAAAAAATAAAAGATAAGAGAAAAATTGTAGGTATATTAAAGCACATAGGTAGCTCAAATTGATTGCAATGACAGCTTCAATGGTAGTTTAACAATAACATCATCAGACGTTGTATTTTTATTATAAAAGGTCAATAAACTATACAGCACAAAAGTAGAGTAATTTCCCGTGTTCAATAATCTACATATATTCATTTTTATTCACTGTTCTATTGTATTTTCCCTTCGATAGCAGTGTAAATTATATCAACTGGTGTGTGGTGCTTTGACCAATGAGAGTCGTCGTTACAAAGCGTCTATTCATTCATAACGTAACCCAATACTACGACAACAACAAATGCGGCGTTGCCATTTTGCACGTTCCGCGGAAGTGAGGGTAAAAGAATACTTTTAATTGACTGTACAATCATGAGGTACGAGTAAGCTATGGGCCCCTCACAGTACAATCATGAGGTACGAGTAAGCTATGGGCCCCTCACAGTACCATCATGAGGTACGAGTAAGCCATGGGGCCCCTCACAGTACAATCATGAGGTACGAGTAAGCCATGGACCCTCACAGTACAATCATGAGGTACGAGTAAGCTATGGGCCCCTCACAGTACAATCATGAGGTACGAGTAAGCTATGGGCCCCTCACAGTACAATCATGAGGTACGAGTAAGCCATGGGCCCCTCACAGTACAATCATGAGGTACGAGTAAGCCATGGGCCCCTCACAGTACAATCATGAGGTACGAGTAAGCCATGGGCCCCTCACAGTACAATCATGAGGTACGAGTAAGCCATGGGCCCCTCACAGTACAATCATGAGGTACGAGTAAGCCTCATTATAGTCTCAAACATAACAAGCGCGTCTGACCTGGCTGTTGCAGCTTGCACCCGGTCAAACAATGTATTGTTTGGTTTTGGGCTCCTACATGAAAATGTCTTAATTTTGCTAATGTAAAATAAAGTATGAAAATATCTTAATTTTGCTAATGTAAAATAAATCTAATATTAATGTGATGTATGCAAAAAGTTATTTATTCCCTAGGGAGGCGTGTATGGCAAGGATTCCCCAGTACCCTTGACGGCTTTCGTGCTAATCTCCCTGCTTGAGGCAGGTGTAAGTCCAAGGACTGCAGTTGTCACCAATGCATGTTCCTGTGTGACCAATGACACGTCCCAAGATCTCTACACCCTGGCACTCAAGTCCTACGCCCTGGCCCTCGCCAAACGGGAAGAGGTATATAAGGTGCTCCCGAAGCTCATTGAGAGAGCAAAAGTGACGAAGGACACCATGAACTGGGAAATTTGGAATGACACTTGTAAGTGCTCAAGTATCCGTCCTAAGAATTCTTGATCTTACTGTACAATGTCTCATAATTTGCCTGTATGTTTTCTAATCATGTGATTAAATACCTTTTTTTTTACATACTTAGATACACATTTTTGTATAATCATGAGAGAGTTTTTTATTTTGTGAAGATGTAAGTATTAGCATTTATATATACTAGTGAGGCACCCGGCGCTCGTGCCATTTTTTTTTTTAGTATTATTATTATTTTCTACCACAGACGTGGCCACACATTTACAATGCTAACCAGCATATATACATTTTCTTCTGTCCTCCATGGACAGGGTTACAGATGTGTTAAACATATAGTTCAAGGGTTTATTGAACACTCAACCACAGAAGGTGATTCGGTGCTTTTAAAATGCTAAGCTAACCTACATACGTAAATACATAGATACACAGATTTACGTATGCCCTACATAAAGTGTTCGATGTGTCTTTTACATAGTGTCATTAATGTGCATTTAGTTCATGCCAGTGTCTGTCTGTCTTACCTCTCGTTCTACCTATTTTTCAATCTACATCTGTTTTGCCACCTCGTCTTTTTCCTTTCTCCTCTCTTCCCTCCTCTTTCCCCTTGTACCTCCACTCTCCTCGCATCTTCCCCTCTTGTACCTCCTTCTTCCCTCATCTTTCCCCATGTGCCTTTGTCTCCCCTAATCTTACCTCTTCACTGTGAATTGTACGGAATAATATCTTCGTCGCCATAACCATCTTCACTGTATACGGTACTGTATAATATCTTCGTCATCATAACCATCTTCACTGTATACGGTACTGTATAATATCTTCGTCACCATAACCATCTTCACTGTATACGGTACTGTATAATCATTACCATGACCATCTTCACTGTATACGGTACTGTATAATCATTACCAGGACCATCTTCACTGTATACGGTACTGTATAATCATTACCATGACCATCTTCACTGTATACGGTACTGTATAATCATTACCAGAACCATCTTCACTTGTGGGGGTTTTACTTCTCAACTCCCCCGATCAAATTCTTCATACAGAATATAAATTAAAAGGACTCGAGTGAAATTTTGACTAAGTACTAATTAATCAAAACATTCTGAGAAATTAAATCATTTAGTTCACACAACAGACTACAGTTAATACTTTATGAGACCTACTACTACTTAATTTGAATATAAGGAATGAAACCCCCGAGTGCACACGGCTGGGTATGACAGTGTAGACTCTGACGCGGTCCACTGTTGAGGTAAATGTTATAGATTGCAGGTATCCTACTACTGTTCTTGCATGCCTGCCCAGAAGCCTTACATCAACATTTCTAAATTTATATTTATATCATGGGCGGCGAGGCACCGCTTCTTTTCCATATACACAATACAAACCATCAAAACTGTAATAGTGAATAGCCAGGCCTAAAGAATTTAAGATAATTCTCTGAGAGTAAGATTAATTTACTGATCATAAACTGTAGATAATGTAGGTTATATCAGAATTTTATAACACGTAAATAATGCAGAAATTACTGTATTGTGCACTCACCTATTTTGGGGGAGTAACCCAAACATAACATAACAACCAGTACTCTGGAATAGTGACTACAATATTATTAAAATGATGTCAAATCTACAATATAAAAACCGTCGCAACTATCCTCGTTAAGGCCCATCCCTTCCCAGTCCGTTGTCGTCGTGAGGGGGCTTGGTGGGCGGCTGCCGGGGTGTGATGCTCCATGGGACGGTCCTTTGTCCTTTTGAAGCCTTATGCTCCTGCTGCTGTCCTCACTATTGTGCTGGATGCTTTTTCCTCTTACTCATGTTGAATTTTTTTCCTCCTCCCCCTCCCCTCTCTTCTTCTTTCTCATTGTTACTTCCTGCTAACTTTTTGCCTTCTTGAATATTCTTTCCTATATCTTCTGTTTTGACATCGGATGTTTGTGGAGGCGCGCACACTCACCCGTAGAACTGTGGCACCTGACGTTGGCGAGCGAGGGGGACGCTTTTATTGTCAAACTTTCCCTTTCTTGCTGAGCCTGATCTCAACGGACTGACGGTTCTTAATTAAGGTGGTGATTGCAAGGTGTATGTCCACGATGCACCTCTCATGGGCCCCATCTTGTTGGGTGTCCTGCCCTATCCTCTAATTGTGGTTCCATGATGTGTATAGGGACATTCGTGGACGAAATTCTATTCATGTTTGTTTCTGTGCCAATATCTGACCCTCATTCAACTTTTCAGACTCGTGGGGTGGGCGACCAGGCCCCCGAATCAGACTGTGATAGAAGGCCGAGTTCTTTATCCCCCCCCCCCATCTCCCCGCTACATTGGGCCCAGACCGAGCTGCGTTTCTGACTCTCCTGACTGCCCCTCTCTGCTCTCCGCCCACCTCTGTGGCAGGGTTGAGCCACAAGGCTCTAGTGGTGACCACCTCATCACCTGGAGTGGCTCCGTCTCTCATTGTAACAACTGCGCCTTTTACCCCCCCCCTCCCTCTCCTCTTACTGGGGGTACTCAGCACCATCACCTCCACACTCATACGTTCATGATTCCTTCCTGATCTAATACATTCTAAAATTTGCTTGGTTTTGCGAAGTGGACTACGTATTTTGATCTCAGTCATGTTGATCACACACGTCGTCATAATTTATTCATCCATAAACACCTAGTTGATTCGGTGGATACCTTTGTCACTTTTAACCCCACCCATCTGGTGCACGTGTCATTGCAGCTCCTTCTCTGGAAGCGACTGACTGCTTGGCTTCGATGTCCTCCATTAAAAAAACCCTTGTTCGGATCTCCAAAAATGCCCGGTTAAATGCCAGGAATGCCACAGTAATTCTTCCGCACTATGTTGAGACTGGTGATAGGGAACTGAAAGACTGCCACGAGAATATGAAATATATCCTTGAGGCCCAAGGCCATTCTATCCTCCAGATTGATACGTTCACTCGACCTTCTTGCTAGTGCCAGATGCTTCGTTTAGGAGTTCATCCCCTCTCCGCCTCTACAAAAAGTGTTGGAGATAATGTAATAACTTATTACGAAATACGAAACGCGTTCAAGTGTCGCGTCAGACTAGAAATAAAAATGAATTTTGGAGAACTGATTTTTCAATTACCACCGACAGTGAAAAGAAACATAAGAAATATTGAGAAAATTCGTGTTAGAATTATTAATCTTACTTTTTCGGTCATATTTAATAATATATGTCTACAGGAAACACTGCTACCAAAATATACTAATATATATATATATATATATATATATATATATATATATATATATATATATATATATATATATATATATATATATATATATATATATATATGTATATATATATATATGTATATATATGTATGTTATTTCCACTTAGTCACTGAAAATATTATAATCATTCAGAAAAAGTTATTTTTAATATTCATTTACTTCTTAGGGAAAAAAAAATCATTGGAGGTAGAGATTGCGGGGTACGCGATCCTGGCCATGGTGTACAGTAACATCACAATATATGAACCACACATACGGAAAGTCATCAAGTGGATAACAAGACAGAGAAATGGTCATGGAGGATTTTACACCACACAGGTGAGTCCTGCATAATTACATTAGTTACCTCTGATCATTATACACCATGATATATGGAGCCTTATACTCACTTTCCTCTCCTTATATTCAGGATACAGTCGTAGCCGTACAAGCGATGTCAGTGTACGAGTCGTACTTCCACGAGGGCAACTTGAGCATGGTGGCGAGGGTGACAGGTGGCGGCGTGAACCATTCCTTCACCCTACACGAGGACAACAGGTTCTTGACGCAGCTCGTACCCCTCACCAGCCTTCCTGCCAACCTCACCCTAAACGTTGTTGGCAAAGGTTGTGTCATGGTCCAGGTGAGAGGGGACACCCCCCGTGTATATTATAGCTCTTAACAGTAATAAAATGCTTTATTGATAACTACAATAAGAAGTTATCTTGTTATCCAATGGCAGTTAGAGAAGGCTAGTTTATTGTGCACCCCATACTCATCCTGGGAGCGGTAGTTTATTGTGCACCCCATACTCATCCTGGGAGCGGTAGTTTATTGTGCACCCCATACTCATCCTGGGAGCGGTAGTTTATTGTGCACCCCATACTCATCCTGGGAGCGGTAGTTTATTGTGCACCCCATACTCATCCTGGGAGCGGTAGTTTATTGTGCACCCCATACTCATCCTGGGAGCGGTAGTTTATTGTTATAACTGTAGCCAGCAGCCACTGTTGTGCAGGTACGTCACCTCCAGCTCTGAGAGTAACCACCATTAATTTTGATTTTGTGAATTCAGTTCAAATCAAATCAAATATTTATTCAGGTAAAGTACATACATACAAGGTGAGATACAAAACATTGATGGATTTATAGATAGAGCTGGTACATACAATGCCTAAAGCCACTACAACAACAACAACAACCATTTTATTTAGGTAAGGTACATACATACAATAAATATTTACAAGGATTGTTTGACTTATAGGTAGAGCTAGTACATACAATGCCTAAAGCCACTATTACGCAAAGCGTTTCGGGCATGATAAACTTAAATGACAAGCTTAATACTAATTGAGCATAATGAGTAGAATGAAAACAAGAAATGAAAACATAGATGAAAAAGCAGCACAAATACAATTATGTTGACAAACAGCGCTCTTTAAAGAAAAAAAACAGACATTGGTTGACAATAGAAGGGTAAGGTAGGTTACAGGGAATTTATTAGGTATAGCTTCGCTTTTAACTTAAACTGGTTGAGAGAGGTACAGTCTTTAACATGGTTGGGAAGGTCATTCCACATTCTGGGTCCCTTGATTTGTAGAGCATTTCTAGTTTGATTAAGTCGTACTCTAGGAATATCAAAACTGTATTTATTTCTGGTGTGATGCTCCTGGGTTCTGATACAACCTTCTATGAAGCTTTTGAGATCAGGATTGGCATTATAGTTTAGCGTTTTATATATGTATAATACACATGAGAGAATGTGCAGTGACTTAATGTCTAACATATTCAGAGATTTAAGTAGGGGTACCGAGTGATGTCTGGGGCCAGAATTGGATATTGTCCTAATAGCAGCTTTGTGTTGAGTAATTAGAGGACGTAAGTGATTTTGGGTAGTAGAGCCCCAAGCACAAATACCATAGTTGAGATATGGATAGATAAGGGAGTAATAGAGAGTCACCAGGGCAGGGCGTGGTACATAATATCTGATCTTAGAAAGAATGCCCACAGTTTTTGAAACTTTTTTTGATATGTTTAGAATGTGTCCCTGGAAATTCAGCTTGTGGTCAATGAGAATGCCAAGGAATTTGCCATCTAATTTGTTACAAATTTGGGTATTGTTTATTTTGAGATTTATTTGATTAGAGGATTTATTGCCAAACAGAATATAGAAAGTTTTGTCAATGTTAAGGGTGTGTTTGTTGGCAGTTAGCCACAGATGGACTTTATTTAGCTCAGTATTTACTGTGGCATTTAGAGCAAGGGGATCAGGACTGGAGTAAATGAAGGTTGTGTCGTCAGCAAATAGAATTGGTTTGAGGTGTTGGGAGGCATTTGGAAGGTCATTAATGTAGATGAGAAAGAGGAGAGGGCCAAGTATGCTGCCCTGGGGAACACCAATGTTGATGGGTAGGGTGGGAGAAATTGTATTATTCACAGAAACATATTGGAGCCTGTCAGTAAGGTAGGATTTGAGGTATTGTAGGGAGTGTCCTCTGACTCCATAATGATGTAATTTAAGAAGAAGGTTTTGGTGGTTGACAGTGTCAAAAGCTTTACGCAGGTCCACAAACAACCCAACAGGGAACTCATTTTTATCAAGAGCTGTATGAATCGAGTTAAGCATACTAATAAGTGCATCGTTAGTCCTTTTTTTGGGTCTGAAGCCATATTGGCAAGGGCTAAGTATATTGAGTTTGGCTAGATATGAGTAAAGCTGCTTATAGATTAGTTTTTCACAATTTTTTGACAAGTTTGGCAGGATAGATATAGGTCTGTAGTTGTTAACATCTGTGAGATTACCACATTTGTGGACAGGCGTTACTCTCGCTTTTTTTAGAATATCTGGGAAGGTTTGGAGTTCAAGTGACTTGTTGAAGAGCAAAGCAATAGCAGGGGCTAAAGATCTGGAGGCTTTTTTGTAAATTAAAGTTGGTATCTCCTCAAGGGCACCAGACTTGGTTTTAAGGGAAAGGATTATCTCATTGACTCACTCTCACTATTACGCAAAACGTTTCGAACGGGAAAAAACTTAAGACTAAAACTTAATACTAATTGAGATTAAAGTATAAATGTGTTAAGAAAATAAATAAATAAAAAAAGGGGAGAACATGGCAGAAAAAACAGCAAAAATACAATTTGGTCGACAGACAGCATTGTTTAAAATAGTAGACATGGGTTGACATTTTGGGGGTGAGGTAGGTTACATGGAGTTTATTAAGTAGTACTTAGTTTTTATCTTAAACTAGTTGAGAGAGGTACAGTCTTTAACAATTGGGAAGGTCATTCCACATTCTGGGTACCTTGATTTGTAAAGCATTTCTAGTTTGATTAAGTCGTACTCTTGGAATATCAAATAGGTATTTGTTTCTGGTGTGGTGCTCATGGGTTCTGTTACAACCTTCAATGAAGCTTTTAAGGTCAGGATTGACATTGCAGTTCAGCGTTTTATATATATAAAATACACATGAGAGGATGTGCAGTGACTTAATATCTAATATATTCAGAGACTTGAGTTAGGGTACCGAGTGATGTCTGGGGCCAGGGTTATATATTGTCCGAATAGCAGCTTTGTGTTGAGTAATTAAAGGACGTAAATGATTTTGGGTAGTAGAACCCCAAGCACAAATACCATAGTTGAGATATGGATAGATGAGAGAGTAATAGAGTGTCACCAGGGCAGGGCTGTAACACCGCTATAATTGTAACACCACCTTATTATAGATACTAAACTAATAATGTAAACACTACTTCTACTTATCCTGAGTAACACCTATCAGTTGCACTTGGTAACACTGTTAGTGAACACGGTAATATGAGCTGACATGTGATGGTTACACCGGAACTAAAAGGTACACTGCCAACAAGGAAATGCTACACAGGATTAAAAAAAAACGCTGCCACCATCTGCCTTGACCATTGAGACTATATCAAGCAACGAGGCAAGAAACATTGCTTGACTTGGAGAGTACTTTCTATAACTGTCATTAATTATGGGACGGTTGCCAGCCACTATATCCAAAAGGCTAAAAGGATTCAACAATTGACACAGACGGGAAATTTAACACGAGTTTATTGAGAACAAAATTATGCTAATCACCACTTATAAATCCTACTCTAACACTGGCCAAGAGTTAAGAAATTTAGACATGGAACAAAACCTCAGAGATCACACACATTACCTTAAGACCTCTGTCTCTCCATCCGGCGGATTCACTCTGTCTCTCCCTGGCTGTGAGATGTTCTTCACAGACCTCTCTCGACCCCGGTGTCCCACACTCTGTCTAAACTAAGTCTCTACAGGACCTCTATATACAACCCCAAAAGGGGAGGAGGGGGAGATTTGCTGTTGCTACCTAGGTCGAAAGAGGTCGGGCCACAAACACTCAAGAATTTTCATTAAGCTTGTTTGACATTCACCATACACTGTTCAAGAGAGGAATTATTAATTACGTGTGTGACTGACCTTTGACTTGGCTTAAAGGGGGAGATCCATGGATGTTCACACATAAGAATCTGGGGTCTAATTACATTGCAATGTTTGACAAGTGTATCATGAAATATTACATACTTGAAACTAGCTAACTAAGACTGACCCAGGAATTTTTAAATCAACATACAAGATGATCCAGAGGTCATCTGGGCTGACCTCTTGGAGAAGGCTTCCCTGGGTGAGAACTCTAGGGGGGGGGGGGTGTCATGGGTGTTACAGGGCGAGGTACATAATATCTGATCTTAGAAAGAATGCCAACAGTTTTTCAAACTTTTTTTATATATTTAGAATGTGTCCCTGGAAATTCCGCTTGAGGTCAATGAGAACGCCAAGGAATTTACCATCTACTTTGTTACAAATCTGGGTATTGTTTATCCTGAGATTTATTTGATTTGAGGATTTATTGCCAAACAAAATATAGAAAGTTTTGTCAATATTGAGGGTGAGTTTGTTGGCAGTTAGCCAGTGATGGACTTTATTTAGCTCAGTATTCACTGTGACATTTAGAGCAAGGGGGTCAGGACTGGAGTAAATGAAGGTTGTGTCGTCAGCAAATAAAATTGGTTTGAGATGTTGGGAGGCATTTGGAAGGTCATTAATGTGGATGAGAAAGAGGAGAGGGCCAAGTATGCTGCCCTGGGGAACACCAATGTTGATGGGTAGAGTGGGAGAAATTGTATTATTCACAGAAACATATTGGAGCCTGTCAGTAAGGTAAGACTTAAGGTATTGCAGGGAGTGACCTCTGACTCCTTAATGCTGTAATTTAAGAAGAAGGTTTTGGTGGTTGACAGTGTCAAAAGCCTTACGCAGATCCACAAATAACCCAACAGGGAACTCATTTTTATCAAGAGCTGCATGTATCAAGTTAATCATACTAATAAGTGCATCATTAGTGCTTTTTTGGGATCTGAAGCCATATTGACAAGAGCTAAGTGTATTGAGTTTGGCTAGATAAGAGTAAAGCTGCTTGTAGATTAGTTTTTCAAATATTTTTGACAAGTTTGGCAGGATTGATATAGGTCTGAAGTTGTTAACATCAGTGGGATCACCACATTTGTGGACAGGGGCTATTCTTGCTTTTTTTTAGAATATCTGGAAAGGTTTGGAGTTCAAGTGACTTGTTGAAGAGCAATGCAATAGCAGGAGCTAAAGATCTGGAGGCTTTTTTTGTAAATTAAAATTGGTATCTCGTCAAGGGTACTAGCCTTGGTTTTAAGGGAAAGGATTATCTCATTAACATCAGTGGAATTTGCAGGCGTTAGGTACAGAGATTGTGGATAGTTACCTGTAAGATAGTCCTGAACATCAGTACTAGAAGATGGAATATCATTTGCAAGGGATGACCCAGTGGAAGAGAAGAACCTATTTAACGCAATAGCAGTATCAGAGGCTGTAAGCTGACCATCTTTATTAGACAGAAGTATTGGTTTGTTATTTAAAATCTTCTTTGATCCCAATATTTGTGAAATTGTGCTCCATGTTTTCTTAATATTGCCCTTTGTTTGGGTAAATTTAATGTTGGCTCTTCTAATTATTTTAGACAGCAATGATGAGTAATTCTTTGAAAATTCTTTGGAGACGATTCCTAACCTACACTTCTTCTCAAGGTCATGTTTTTTATTAATGAATTTAAGTATTCCCTTTGTTGTGAGCCAAGGATTGTTTAGCCTTTTAGTTGTGACTTGTTTCGTCAGCATTGGACAGTGGGTGTCATAAAGGCTGAGAGTTTTTTGAAGAAAAGATTGCATTGCTAGGTTTATGTCCCCTATGTTACCTAATTCGAACTCCCAGTTGACATTAGCAGCTTCAGCCATAAAATTGCCTATAACAGTTTCATTGTGCAGCCTAAAGCTTATCTCCCTTGTCTCTAGAGGTGGTTTGTTAATGTTAGGAGAAATGTGGGGTAATGGTCTGTAGTGCTATCGATGATAGCATGTGTTAGCGAATTACATGTATACAAATCGTTAATTATTTTCCTTACAGTCTGTGCTGAAGTACAATATCCCAACACCTGGAGGAAGTGATGCCTTCAAACTGACCATCAAAACTTGCTCAGAGCCTGACAAGTTTTGTGTGACTAAGCGCATTAAAGCCTGTGCCAGCTACCTGATTCCCGATGGCAAGTCCAACTTGGCCGTCATGGAGGTCAACCTTGTGTCCGGCTACGCTCCTGACAGGTCAGACCTGACGAGAATCACAGAGAACGATCTTGTTAAGAAGTATAAAGTGGATGGCAGCAAGGTCACCTTTTACATTAGCGGGTTGACCAAGAAGGAGACGTGCTTGTCGTTCCGGGTGATCCGGGAGTCGCAGGTTGAGAACACTAAGCCTGGCACCATCCTGCTCTACGACTACCATCACCCAGACTTATCTGTTTCAGAGGTAATTATACACTAATGATCAGAATAACATATTATTATCATGCATACTGTAAATGAGTTCTTATTAATATATATATATATATATATATATATATATATATATATATATATATATATATATATATATATATATATATATATATATATATATATATATATATATATATGCGAACAAGCCTGAATGGTCCCCAGGACTATATGCGAATGAAAACTCACACCCCAGAATGACGGCCGTGATGGTCAAGTGGATTAAGGCGCCCTGTAGTTACCAGTTGTGTTGCTCCTGGGAGTATGGGTTCGAGTCACTTCTGGGGTGTGAGTTTTCATTCATATATATATATATATATATATATATATATATAATATACGACAAGCTTGAATGGTTCCCAAGCCAAATGTAGCTGAGCCAGGCACTCCAAATGCACTAGCATGTCCAGTTGAGTAACCATCTGACCACGACTGACTGTACTTAAGTGTCAGTATACGGTTGTTAAGGTAACGAGTGTGGCGTGCATATCCCTGATGTATCATTGGGAGGCTCAGTTTTGTTCGGGGTTCCCTTGGGGTTCCCAGTCCCCTAATTATGGCTCCATGGTTGGGTGTCGGGGCTTAATCATGGGTGAAATTTTATTCTTATTCGTTCTATGCAGTCTGTACTCGGACTGTCCGCTGTAAGTGGGTAGCCTCTAATAAACACCGTCGCCAACTGACGCTTAATTATTTTAGAGTGTTTCGGAAAGTAAGTGCAGTGACCCATAGGGCCATCCGTACGGCTAAGCGTGAATATTGGATATCTTATGTCTCCGCCATTACGGTTGACACTCCTAGTCTCCCCCAGATCTGGAATAAAATCTGTAAGATAGCGGGTAAGTCTGTTCCAGGTGTCTCGGAAGTCCTTCACCTCTGTGGTTCTGTTGTGGTGGATCCAGTGTCGGTTGCATCCAACCTGCGTTCGCACTTTTCGACTGTTAACTCTGGTTCTCATCTTCTTCCCGCTTTTCTTACTCGTAAGCTCCTTGAATATTGTCCCTTAGATTTCCACATCCATCTACAGCTCTCCAATAACTATAGCTCTCTCACCTCTATCAGAACTTGAGTCTGTCCCGATCCTCATCAGTTCATCGGCAGTTGGTTTAAATAACATTCATTATGAGAAGCTTCGCCATCTTCCATGCACATTTCAGTATGTTCTGAATTATTAGGGGCCCTGATGGCTGAGTGGATAGCGCTCTGGGGTCAGAGTCCTAAGGGTCCGTGTTCCATCCCTGACGGAAGCAAAACCAAATGGGCAGAGTTTCTTTCACCCTGGTAATCCTGTTCACCTAGCAATAAATAGGTACGTGGGAGTTAGACAGTTGCTACTGGTTGCTTCCTGGGAATGAGTGTGTATGTGCATGCATATATAAGAGAAATACGTGTAGTAGACATAATATAGGAAAAATAGATTGATTAAAAAGGCGGGGTTCAAGAGCTAATAGCTCGATTCTGCAGATACAAATAATAAATACAGATAGTAAATACCGATATTGAATATTTATAAGTGTATCTGGGAGTGGTCGTCAGTTCCCAAGGACCCTGACTTCAGGCGGTTAGTCTTCCTATTCGAAAACCAGGTTCTCAAGGGACATCCCCGGCCGACTTTCATCCCATTGCCCTAACAAGTTGCATCTACAAACTTTTTGAACATATGCCCAATGTCTGTCTGATGTGGTTCTTAGAACACAATCACCAACTCTCCCATTCTTAATTTGGCTTTCGCAAGTGTGGCAGCACGACTTATGTCTTCACACTGTCTTCATAATGTCTTCGTGGAATATTTGTACTCCATTTGCTGGGAAGACCTCCGTTATTGATGTCACTTTTGAGCTGGAAAAGGCGTATGACACCACCTGCAGATACCATATTCTGTCTGAACTTCGTTCTTTTGGCCTTCGTGGTAATCTTCCTCTCTAGTTGTTCCTTTAGAGTGCAGCTTGGTACCTCTCACCACTGAATGTGTACCCCAGGGTAGTGTTCTGAGTTCTACTCTTTTCCTGGTTGCCCTCAATGGTATTCTTTCCTTCCTTCCCTCTGGAATTTTCTCAGCTCTCAATAATTACGATCTTACCCTCTACTGTCAGGGTGATGACTCGCTTTTCCTCCAACGGTAGCTTCAACTTACGATTGATGCCGTGTTGTCGTGAGCCACCAAACATGGCTTCAAGTTCTCTATAACTAAGATTTGTGTTATAACCTTTACTCAGAAGCAGGTAGTTCTTCGTCCCAATTTGGCGCTTTATGATAATTCTCTTTTGTACAGAGATTCCGCTAAACTTTTGGGGTTAATCTTTGACAATCATTTGTCTTGGTTGCTCCATGTCTCGTACCTCCGAAATGAATGCTCTAAGGCCGCTTATTTAAAGTCGTGTCCCAAACCTCCAGGGAAAGCACGCTCTTCTATTTACATTCCACTCTCGTGTTGTCTAAATTCGATTATGGCTGTCCCGCTTACTCACCTCCCTTTCCTTCCACTCTTCGTCTTCTTGATGCTCTGCGCCATACTCTGCTATGCCTCAGCTCTGGTGCCTTTCGTTCGGCCCCCCTACCCTGAGCCTGTATGTTGAAACAGGCATCCTGTCTCTACAGAATCGTCGTGATTGTTATTGTCGTCACTACCTTGCGCGGTCCCTACAACACCCTCACTCTTGCGAATTTTTCTTTGGGTTAGTCCTGCTGGATTCTTTTTTGCCTATTCTGTAGTCAGCAATTATGTCTGTTTTATTGACTTTAACGTGCAGTTGGTCTTTTATGATAGCATGTACAACGTCAATACACTTCTCACCTTCACTTTCCACTGGGATGTCTGAAGATGACACAATAACAGAGTCCAGTAACTTTTGCTGGTCTTGTTCATCCTAGGAGATAGAATGTTGGGTGGTTAAAGTAATGCATACATTCATTTAATCCAGTCCATCCTGTGGTAGTCGAAATTCAACATTGGCTCTTTTTTATCTGCAGCAGATTTAAAACAATCAAGTTTGGCTATGCCACAATGATTTTTAATGCATCAGTTTTTGGCCTTAGGAGATTTACATGTCAAAATACAATGTTCTACTCAAGAGGACAGGTTGCCACTATTGCTTCTTTAAATTGTCAGTAGATTTACGGTGACAACTGACACCATCATCGATGGTTCTATGATTGTGTCACATCCATCAAGAATTCATTCGGATCATTGATCTTCAATGTGTTCAGGGTGATCTTCAATGTGTTCAGGGCTACACTGAAAACAGTATTTCACATATCCTCTGATGTCATCTGTGAAGGTTCCCTCACACTAGTGCATTAAGGGCCCAATACAGGAAGTAGTTGTTGTTCTAGATATTGCATAGGAGAAAAAGTATTTAGTCTTCCCTTCTCTTTCACTTACAGCCTCTTGCTCTCTGTTTCTTAAGGATTATATGTTATTGCAGCTTTAGCTCGATCGTTTCTATTTCTCTACATAGTTTAGTTTAGTTCATTTATTATGCACCCCATACCCATCTTGTGGGCGGTAGTGGAAAGGGTTACAGAGGCACATAATGGGCTCAGGGACTGAACCCCACAATTCATTTAGCTAAGCAAGTTACAATCTTGATGAGCTAGTTACAAAATTCAGTATAAGTTCAGTATAGCCTTCCTTGTTGTTCTTGGGATATTGCAGCGTTTGAGATGTTCTGTGATTTGTTTTCATTGCCTATAGATGGGACGCCGTTCTTGTGCAGTTTATATATTTTGCTCTTTCACCTTAGTGGTAATGTGACTCTCACGTTTTTCTAGTGCTACGGTGCCAATTTTCTCAAAGCACTGGACTGAGTTTGCATTATCTAGCTGTTCTTCCCAGCATATTTCTGCGAGGTCTTGGTTTATTTGTTCCCAGTTAATAAGCTTTTTTTTATTAAAATTGAATTTGCTGAATTCTCCTCCTTTTGGATTTGAGACTGGCTGCACAGGTCTATTGCCCCATACATGTCTGCACATCGCTTTGATTGTCATCTGAATAACATGTATAACCATTATGTCCATAATCAGTTCATCATTGTTTGTAAAAATAAGATCTAGGATGTTTTCTAGTTGGTTCTAAACAATTGCATTACACAGTTCTCTGCAATTAATTTTTTCACTTCTCTTTCCAGAGATACGATCTTCCTCCTCCAAGTCACTGCAAATAAGTCGAATGAGATGTTTCTGCAGATCTCTTAATACTGGTGAAGTTTTGCCTCTCACACTAACCTTCCATACTTCATACTTTGTTATAGTTAGCATGATATACAAATTCATATATATTGTGATGCATATTATGTGACAATAGTGATATAAATATTTACCTTTATTTTATTTTATTTGTATTGACAGTGCATGGATTAATACTTAATATATCGATTTTGATGGTGGAGCAAGGAAATAAAAGTTTCTTTGTTTAATATTGTATTACTTACTCTTCGTTGAATATAGAGATGCCTAAACAATTCTTTCCATTAACGTTGTCAACTGTACAAGAACTCCCTTGTTGTGACCACACACCAGGCAGACTGAACATGTAAGAACTCCCTGGTTGTGGCCACACACCAGGCAGACTGAACATGTAAGAACTCCCTGGTTGTGGCCACACACCAGGCAGACTGAACATGTAAGAACTCCCTGGTTGTGGCCACACACCAGGCAGACTGAACATGTAAGAACTCCCTGGTTGTGGCCACACACCAGGCAGACTGAACATGTAAGAACTCCCTGGTTGTGGCCACACCAGGCAGACTGAACATGTAAGAACTCCCTGGTTGTGGCCACACACCAGGCAGACTGAACATGTAAGAACTCCCTGGTTGTGGCCACACACCAGGCACACTGAACATACAAACAATTCAGTTTAAACTTCAGCGAAATTGTAAAATAAAATTATTATTATCAATAAGTTTCCTGGATGGTTATCTGCATATTGCTTAATAAATAAATTACTGTTCTTTGTTCATAAACTTACCTGACCTATATTTTATTAGTGTGGTGTGGGTTGTGGCCCATCCTACTGTCCCCTTCACTCAATTATCATTGTTAGATTTACCTGCGTCCCATCATGACCATTATTTTACTGAGCCTGCTCCTATCTAGTATAATGTGTTCTTCTTTGCCTTTGTTTCTTCCTTGTTATCTCTGTTTTTTTTTTTGGGGGGGGCCCGTCGGCTCCCCGGAGCTATCCAGGCTGAATGGATATTTATTTATTTATTTATTTATATACAAGAAGGTACATTGGGTTTGTAAGAATAAATAGCATAGGATTTACACTCTTGTAAAGCCACTAGTACACGCAGCGTTTCGGGCAGGTCCTTAATCTAACAGATAATTTTAAGTAGGTAAATTCTAGAATTAATAAAATTATAACAGATACAATGCAAGAAAAAAATGAGATGAAAGAGATTAGTAAGTATATTAAAGCACATTGGTATATTAAAGCTCTGATTGATTACATTGACAGCTTGATTGGTAATTTAAACAAGATTAATAGACACCATACACCAGATTGATAGCACATGTATAACTTTCTGGCATCAGTCAATGTGCACGGAGTTCCTGCCTATCGGGGACAACGAGCCAGAACCTGGCCCCTTCAAGAGAGGCACGTGGAACAATGGCCTATAGAAACCCCCCCCAGTGTGGTTGGGAGCATTCTATGTCTGCCATCGACCGGATCTGGCACCCAGAAAGGTAAGCGCCCCAAAACAAACCCCCTATTCTGGTGAAACTATTGCTACCGAAAGCCGAACGAGTGGACAGAACTCCCCCAAACGAAAATTGAGAAACGAGCATGACGTCATCATGTCGCCCTGGTGGGGGCAGGGAGCCCTCCTAGACCCCCAACGCCGGCGATCCACCCTGCAGTTCTCAGGCTGATGTGCTACTGGTGTGGTCTTGTGCCTCTGGCTCCAACTATTTGTCTCCGTGTCTGTGCCTTGGGCGTGGACTGTCTACTAGTGGTGTGCGAGCTAGGAGTAATATTCTTCGGTACTCGGGCTGCATGCACCTAGGTACACCTTCCCTAGGTGCCCTGTAAGTACTACCCTTGGGGCTTGGGGGCCACCTTCCACAAGTCACCTCGGGATCTACCTCTGCTGTGTCCTTTACTGCTTGGAACTTGTCCGCCCTTGGAGCCAACTGGGGTCTTTGTTGTCTTTGTTTGACTCTGGGTAGGGGGTAGTTTTCGTCACTATGTGTCTATTAATCTTGTTTAAATTACTAATCAAGCTGTCAATGTAATCAATCAGAGCTTTAATATAACAATGTGCATTAATATACTTACTAAGCTCTCTCATCTCATTTTTCTCTTGCAATGTATCTTTATCATTTATCAATTCTGATAGAAATTACCTACTTAAAATTATCTGCTAGATTAAGGACCTGCCCGAAACGCTGCGCGTACTAGTGGCTTTACAAGAATGTAAATACTGTACTATCCAATGTATTCTCATAAACCCAATGTACCTTCTTGTATATATATAAATAAATAAATAAACTAGTAGGGGGCGCGGTGGAGACGTTTGGTCCTGTCTCTGAGAAATGTATTCCTCACTCATGATTCCTTTGCGTATTGTGTGTTGTGGGTTGTTTCCATTTGTGTGCTTGGTTGTGGGGTGCGGGTCGGGTGTGTGTGAGTGGGTGGGGCAGGTTTGTTTCCCGGCTCCTGCGTGCTCCGGTTTGTGGTTGTGGGTTTATTTATTTGTGTGGTTTGTGTGTGTGTGTGTGTCCGGTTCCTGTGCGGTCCGGGGTTTGGTTTGTGTGGATGTACTGTTCTTGTGTTAGGATTTGTGGTTCTATGTTATTATTATTATTATTATTATTGTTATTATTATTTTCGTTTCGTGTTGGTGCCTCTCCGTGTGTGGTTGCGGTGTTGGTAGCCTTCTTCTGTATATTTAATGTTTTGGTGTGTTATTTCTGTATTGTGTTCCGCTGTGTTTAACTTATTTGTTGTAATTTGTTTGTAATTATTGTTGTTTTATGGTCGGGCCTTCCGGCCGGCGGTTTTGTGTTTAGTACACTTGTTCCCTTATGTTTTTGCACGTTTGTGTTGTCATTTTGTTCTGTTCTATGTTGTATTTGTTTCCTTTTATTGTACTTATAAGCATGCTTGCATGTAAAAAAAAAAAAAAAAAAAAAGTAGGGGGCGCGGGGTACTGCACAGCTAGTTTTCACATCTTACAGCGGCCGGCTTTGTTCCACCTGGGTACGTTGTCCTCTTGCGGGTTTTTTTGTTTTTCTGCCAGGAGAGGGAGTGGGTCTGCCTTGGTGGTTGCCTCTACTGTGATGGGGTGTATATATCTATTATATCTATTCTAAGTTTTTGTGTGGTTGGTGGTACCCCTTGATTGCCCCCGTGAGTGGACACGTTTCAGGGGTTCAGCTATTAGCAGATTGTTTGGTAGTCTTGGGCGGCGGTTCACAGTACCCTGCCTGGGGCTTCCCTTAGCGTGTTAATGGAGCGCCGCCCTGCTCCTTATGGTCCAAACTGCCCATTGTCCCTCTTACGGTCGTGCATATCTGAATGTCCGGACTTTCAGGACAAACGTGTCTTGCTTCCCGACCGTCCCTCGCGGTCACTTGTCCCTCAATAGAATCCTGAATCGGATACTCTCTGACCGTCTCACTATTTTTGTTGAACAAGAAATGTGTGTGTATGTGTGTGTGTGCGCGCGCGCACGGCGTGTGTGTACTCGCTTATTTGTACTCGCCTACTTGTGCTTGTGGGGGTTGAGCACTTGCTCTTTGGTCCCGCCTCTCAACTGTCAATCAACTGGTGTACAGGTTCCTGAGCCTACTGGGCTCTATCATAAATACATTTGAAACTGTGTATGGAGTCAGCCTCCACTACATCACTGCCTAATGCATTCCATCTGTTAACTACTTTGACACTGAAAAAGTTCTTTCTAACGTCCCTGTGGCTCAATATTAAACTTACTTTAATTTATTATTATTAATTAAGAGTGGACTGTATTTTATTAATTTATCCTGCTAGGTGTTATCCTACTCACAAGTTTGGGGCATGTACGTAACCTATCAATAACTCAATGAGTAACATTTAGTTATTAAAGGTTAAATGTTGCATTACATGGTCTTTAAATATTTGTCCATGGATGAGAGTTGGAAATCTTACGTTTCCACCATTACGTCCGATACTCCTCTACCGCAGATCTGGAAGAAGATCCGCAAGATTGCGGGTAAGTTCGTTCTAGATATCTCGCCGGTTCTTCACCTCCGTGGTACTCTTGTGGCGGACCCGGTGCAGGTCGCGACCAAACTGGGTTACCACTTTTCTTCTCTTAGCTCTGGTTCTCATTTTCCTTAATCCTTCCTTCCTTCGTAAGCCTGTTCTTGAATCTCATCCTTTACATTTCCGCACTCATCTCCGCCTTCCCTATAACGATCCCTTCTCTCTCTCTCTCTGTACTTCAGTCTGCCTTGGCCCTCAGTTCTACGACAGCGGGCTCGGATGACATTCATTGAGATGTTTCGCCATCTCCCTCCTTTGTACATCTCGGTATTTACTGAGTCTGTATAACCAGGTCTGGGAGTCGTCGTCAGGCTCTGAAGACTGGCTTGATGCCGTTGTACTCCCTATTCGGAAACCGGGGTCTCTCTGGATATCCCCTAAGGACTTCCGTCCTATTGCCCTCACGAGTTGTCTGCAAACTCTTTGGACGTATGGTAAATGTTCGTCTGATGTGGTTCTTGGAACACAGTCACTACCTCTCTCCTTCTCTATTTGGTTTTCGCAAGTGCCGCAGCACAACTGATATCCTGGTGAACTTGGAGGTCTATATTCGTACTGCTTTTGCTTCAAAGACCTCCGTTGTTGCTGTCCTTTTTGACCTGGAAAAGGCTTATGACACAACCTGGAGATACTATATTCTGTCCCAACTTCGTTCTTTTGGCCTTCGTGGTAATCTCCATCGCTTCCTCTCTGGTCATTCCTTTCGAATCAGGCTTGGTACCCCACTCTCTGCCTCTTTTCGACAATACGAAGGTGTACCCCAAGGTATTGTTCTGAGCCCTACTCTTTTTCTGGTTGCCCACAATGGTCTTCTTTCCTTCCTTCCTTCTGGCATCTTCTTCGTTCTTTATGTCGACGATCTTACTCTTTGCTGTCGAGGTGATGATTCGCCTCTCCTTCAACGGCGGCTTGAACTTGCGATTGATGCTGTTTCTTCTTGGGCCACCAATCATGGCTTCAAGTTCTCTGCAAGTAAGACTTGTGCTATGACTTTTACTCGAAAGTATGCCGTCCTTAGTCCTTCTTTGTCACTTTATGGTCATCCCCTTGTGTACAAACATTCCGTGAAGCTTTTGGGGTTAATCTTTGACACTCGTTTGTCTTGGTCGCCCCCATATCTCTTACCTCTGAGTTGAATGCTCTAAGGCCCTTAATCTACTTAAGATTTTGTCCTATACTTCTTGGGGAGCGGATAGGCGCACGCTCCTCTATTTGCACTCCTCTCTCGTCCTGTCTAAACGCGATTATGGTTGCCCTGCTTAGTATGATTAACTTGATTCATGTAGCTCTTGATAAAAATGAGTTCCCTGTTGGGTTGTGGACCTGCGTAAGGCTTTTGACACTGTCAACCACCAAAACCTTCTTCACTCCCTGCAATACCTCAAATCTTACCTTACTGACAGGCTCCAGTATGTTTCTGTGAATAATTCAATTTCTCCCACCCTACCCATCAACATTGGTGTTCCTCAGGGCAGCATACTTGGCCCTCTCCTCTTTCTCATCTACATTAATGACCTTCCAAATGCCTCCCAACACCTCA